TTTCTTAATTGCACTAGTTCCTTATTCGAGTTAGCCGTCCATGTCTTTATAGTAGACTTGCCATCGTTTCGCCCTTGCTTATATTCTACCGGGAAAGCATTAATTTTCTGTGCCAGCTCCCAGTCCCCGGCCTTGGTCGCTTCTATCTTAATAAGAGCCCATGGATCCGTGTGGATCGTGTCAGAATCAGATTCATTGAGGGAGCTCTGGTCCTCTGAGGAGGACTGAGGGGGGGGTTGCAATTCGTGACCTATGCTTTTTCCATTTAGAAGCAGCATTTTTCCAATGTTTCGTTGGCTGTGGGGGGGCGCATGGCATGACCTGGCCAGGGGGTGGCGCCATTGGAGCTGGGATGGCAGCACAGCATGCGCAGGACCGGGTGTGGGGAGTAGCACTGTGTGTGTGGCAGGGAGGGTGGAGGAGGGGTTGGGGGGACGCGTGGTGGGGGCAGGGGGGCTGGGCGGGGTGGGGGTGCGGGCATGGGGGGAGTGGGGGTGGACTGGCAGTGGTACCGGTCCGGGGTGCCGCGGTTACGGGGTGGTGTGGTGGGACTGTGCATTTGTGAGGTGTCCCTGCTGTGGCAGGCAGGGGCAGGGGGAGGGGGCGGGGATGGACACGGGCTCGGGAGCGGCGGGGGTGAGGCTCGGGGAGCCGTCGGGAAGGGCCGGGCCAGTCGGAGCCGGGGCGGGTGGAGCGGGGGAAGCAGGGGGGGGAGCAGGGGTGGGGGGCGCGGCTACGGGAGGAGTCAAAGTCACTGCAGGGGTGGGAGGGGCAGGGAGCACGGCGGCAGAGGGAGCGGGGACAGGGGGCATTGCGGCGGGAGAGGCACTGGGGTACACCAGCGGAGGGGTGGGGGCACAGCGGAAGGGGCCAGAGCCGACGCAGGGGTGGAGGGGACGACAGGAGGGGTGGGACGGCCCGCAGCGGGGACGGACGAAGCCGGCGCAGGGGGAGGGGGGTCCGCAGCAGGAGAGGGGGAGGCAGAGGCAGGAAACGGGGTCCCCGGGGCCGGATACGAGGAGGAGGCTGAGCCGGGGGGAGGGGGGGGTATATGGGGTCTTAGATAAATCCAGAAGCGGGGAGTTGGGCAGTGCAGACCCCGCAGAGGTGGAGGATGAGGGGGGGGAACCGTTGTGGGCAGCGCAGGCTCTGCAGTGGGGGTAGCGGGAGGGAGAAGGACTTTAGGAGCTGGGGGATATGTGGAATGCAGGCTACATCCCTGAGAGTCGTTATCAATGTGATTAGCATTTGAAAAGGAAGTGTCTGTAAGTGACTGCAAGAGTTTTTCTCTGTTAAATTTTTCAATGGTTTTAGTTATTATATGGAATAACGACAAATAGTTAGTCGAGGAATAATCCTGTTTTGTTTGTGAGATATATATGGTGTTGCCAATCCTATCCCATAACGAATTTTCAATGACTGATTCCTTATCAGTATCAGGAAATTACGAAATAATCCAAGTTACAAATTTTTTAGGGTTAGTTTTTGAGAGCTTGCCTTTAGAAAGAGAGAAATTGTTAGCAGATAAGATTTCTAAAATAATCAAATATATCTCTGTCTCGGTTTTACTTAGTTTTAATGTACTAAAAATTGTACCTGTGTAAATGGTTAGCCCTTCCAGCAGAAAAAAAACGAAAAAAAACCCTAAAAAAGAGTTTTAGAGCCCCAAACCTATGCGTGCAATGTTAGCTAATTTATACTTACAGTTCTTGGGGTCCAAGATCTGTGGAAGGGGTCTGCTGACATCAGTTCTCCTCGGAACTTTCTCTCGTTCAGATGTAAGTTTTGAGGGTCGAACTGACCCTCCTGGGGATAGGTTTTTCTAAAATGAAAAGTCCCTTCACAGGAGGAGTTGCTTCCCAAACAGGCAATCACAGAAAACCCCGGGGGGGGGGTTCGTTGCTCAGCGGACGGATATCGCCTCTGGGTGGGTCCGTAGTCATTGGGCCGCAACTTTAATAAAGCCTCTGATCTGGCCTTATCATAAGGCAGAGCAATAGGGCTCAGGAGCTCAGTCCCCGAGTAAGAACCGAGTGCCAGAAGCTAGCTCGCTCATGCCAACGGTGCGGGTCAAGCCCCTAGCAAGCTCAGTGATTCTCAGCTCTTATAGTTCAGCCCTGCTTGCTAGGTAAGTTTGCCCTTGGCTTGAGGCTGCAGCAGACAGGGAGAGAGGAGAAAGAGAGGCGCAGGCTGTTCCACGGAGATGGCTTTATTCGGGGAGGTCCATGAAGGGTCCCAGCAACAGCTCTTCTTCTGACTAATGGGGTACAGCATGCTTCTTTTATAGGGTTGGATAGGGTCCAAACTTGACCAATAGTAAAGGTTTACGGGTATCCATAAATGACCAATAGTTTAGGGTTAAAATGACATTGCTTTATAGGGTAACAGAGATAGGCTATGGGGGGGATGTCCATGGAGACAGGAACTTCTTTGCTGCCTCAGCATTCCTATTATTCAGATCCTCCATGGTGCTTTTCCTAAATCTATGGGGTTTATTACACTGCATGGTTCCAGTTCCTCTCTTTCACCCTCACTTTTCTTCCAGTCACTCCCAGTATCTTCCAGTGTACCCCAGTTCCCTCCACCATCTTCCCAGATCCTTCCAGTATGATCCCATTTGCTCACAAGCACTCCGAGTGAGCCTCAGTGTAGTGGCATTCACTGCCAGTATGATCCCAGTCACCTACAGCATGATCCCAGTTCATCCCAGTATAAGCCCAGCAGTTTCCAATCACCCCCAGTATGCACCCAGTTCCTTTCAGTTGGTCCTAGCATGTTCCCAGTTGATTACAGTGGCTCCCAGTCACCCTCAGCATAGTCCCAGTCATTCCCAGTATAACCCATTTGCCCCCAATACGGCCTCAATTGCCCCCTGCAGGCTCCTGCTCACTCCCAGTACAATCCCAGTATGATCCCAGTATGATCCCACTCTCCATTAGTGTAATCACAGTGTACCCTGGCATGGCAGTATGATCCCAGTATGATATCAGTACAAGCCCAGTACAGCCCCAGTCACTCCCAGTACAATCCCAGTGCAGCCCAGTCCCTGGCAGTGCTGCCACTGCTGGGATCCCCCAGCCCTGTGTGCGTTCCCCCCTGGCGGATGTGCCGGGAGGAGCCCCAAGGGCTGGCAGTGGCCAGGCAGGGTCCCCAGCAAGGCCCAGTTTGGATGTGCAGCCCCCAGTTTGCCCAGTTTGCCTCGCCTTTGGCCCGGGCCGGGTTCCCCCCGCCCGCAGCGGCTGGGAGCAGCCGAGAGCCCCGCGCTGCCCATCCCGACCTGTCCCGGCTCCATCCCCACTCCTGCCGCGGACTGCGAGGGCTGCGGGAACAGGCACCGAGGGTGTGGCTGCTGCTGGGGGAGGAGGAGGAGGCAGGGAAGGGCAGGGATGAAGGGGGAAAAGGAGGTGGGGCTAGGGGGGAGGAGCAGGGGGAGGAGGGATGGAAGAGGAGGGATGAAGGCAGAGAGAGAGCAGCGATGGAAGGAGGAAAAGGAGGTGGGGTTAGGGAGGATGAGAAGGGATGGAAGGGGAGGGATGGAAGAGAAGGAGGTGGAGATAAGACAGAGCAGGAGGACGAGGGGGATGGAAGAGGAGGAGCGGTGGGAAGAGGAAGAGGAGGGACAAAGGCGGATCGAGGCTGAACTGAGGGAGCCAGGCCGTCGATCCCTGCCTGAATTCGCAGCCCCCACCTGTGGGATCATCGCCCCCCCCATCGCGCCGGTGAGCGGGGAGGGGGAGCTCAGCCCAGATATCCCGGGGGGTCCCTGGGTTGGGGTTTTTGGGGCGATGTTTGGAGAATGAAGAAGTCCAAGGCTGAGCGGAAAAGGCCCCTTGGGGGGGACATTGGGGGGTGGCGGTGGCGGCTGCCGGCAGAGGCAGCCTGGAGGAGCAGAGCCCTGTGTGCCTCAGGAGCCCAAAGTGGGGAGCCCAGAGAGGGGGGAGCGCCGCCATTGGCAGGAGCCTCAAGAGCCTGGAGAGGGGCAGGGGGGACTCCTTGGAGCCGCTGCAGCCCAGAGCAGAGAATGAGGGGAGAAGGGAGCCCGGGAGCCCAAACAGCCCCGGCATCCCAAAATGGGGAGAGCGAAGCGGGGGGAGCTTTTGGGATTGCTGGGACTGCCCGCAGCCTGGGCAGGGTGGACACTGAGGAGAAGGGGGACCCCCAATCCAAGCGTGACCCCAGCAGCTGGGACAGGGGGGAACCCCAGAACAACAGAGGGGAGGAACCAGGGACAGGGAACTCCTGGGTGGCTTTTTCAGGGCTGAATCTTGGTGTTTGGGAGGTTTTTCTGGAGCCAGATGGCCGCTGACTTGTAGAGATGGACTCAGGCAGAGGGACCTTCATACTCAGTGTGTGTTGGGGAAGATGAAACAGGAAAGCCTTATAAATATGATTGTCTGGCAAAAGATTTCGAGAATATAGAAACTATAAGCAAGATTGAAATGAAAGCAAGCTTTGAGATACCTCAGTTAGTGAACAACTGGAAAACAATGGTGTGGCCCAACTGAAGGTAATCCCCTTTTAATGAAACAATTCCCTCTGCTTGCAGACAGGTCCAAGGGTCAGAGCAGACCCTACTAGCTCAGCAGAAGGGGTCCAAAGAGGAGTTTTTAGCATTTAAAATGTAACACAGTATGGTGATGTAGTGATTCTTACAGGCTGTATGTAAATGCTCTAGGATTTGTATCTTGTACTAGATTGGTTAGTGAGAAATAGAATATTCAACACAGAAGAAGATTTATTGTATTGTAACAGGAACCTTTCTCTCTTGCACTCTTCCCCTCTTACTCTCTTACCCTCTCATCCTCTCTACCCCTCTCTTCTCTCGGGCCTGCTCCGAGCTGTGCCTGGCAGCTCCAAGCAGGGCCCTGCACCCAGGCCCTTTGCAATAAACCGCAAGTTCCAGGGCCTGGCTGCAGAGATCTCTCGTCTCCGTCCATCCCGACCGTCCTACCCCCCGACGCTCCTACAAACGCGCTCATCCCTTGTTTTCCCCAAACCAGGATTTCCCATTGCCAACCTCAGGGAAGCTGCGAGGAAGAGGAAGATGCCCCAGGGCACTGAGGCAGGTGAGGAGGAAGTCAGTGCCCCTTTCCCCTCTGTGCTGCTCCATCTCCCAGCCCAGCACGGCCCCCGGCTGCATCTCAGCCCTGGGGGGATCTCCTTGCCCTTGCCTGTGGCACGGAGGCAAATCCCATCCTGTCCTTGTCCTTCCTCCCCCAGAGCAGGAGCTGAGCATGGAGAGCAGGGAGGACAAATCTCCGCGGCAGAACCTGGTGGCAGAGGCCGTTTTGAGCGGCTCCACGGCGCAGGAAGCCAACGGGGAGGAAAAGCCCCGGAGCTGCCGCACGAGGAGGGGCTGCAAACGCAGATGGCGGGGATGTGAGGGGCAAAGAGCCAGCCTGGGCCGGGAAGACGGCCGGAGATGGAGCCAGAGCTCGGAGCTGGTGCTCCATGAGCAGCTCCATGATGGGGAGAAGCCCCACAGGTGCGTGGATTGTGGGAAGAGCTTCAGGTGGAACTGCGACCTGATTGTGCACCAGAGAACCCACACTGGGGAACGGCCCTACGAGTGTGGGGAGTGTGGGAAGAGTTTCAGCCAGAGCTCCAGCCTGATCAAGCACCAGAGGACCCACACTGGGGAACGGCCCTATGAGTGTGGGGAGTGTGGTAGAAGCTTCAGCTTGAGCTCCAGCCTGATCAAACACCAGAGGATCCACACTGGAGAAAGGCCGTACAAGTGTTCTGAGTGTGGAATGCACTTCAGCCAGAGGATCAGCCTGATCAGGCACCAGATGACCCACACTGGGGAGAGGCCCTACGAGTGTGATAAATGCAGGAAGAGGTTTCAGACCAGCTCCAATCTCCTCCTGCACTATTGGATTCACACGGAGGAGAGGCCCTTCCAATGCCCTGAGTGTGGGAAGGGATTCAGGCAGAAGTCCACTCTTGTCACCCACCGGCGCATCCACACTGGGGAGAGGCCCTACGAGTGTGATAAATGTAGTAGGAGGTTTCTGACCAGCTCCTCTCTCTTCCTGCACTATCGGATTCACACAGAGGAGAGGCCCTTTCACTGCCCCGACTGTGGGAAGGGATTCAGGCAGAACTCCCACCTCATCACCCACCAGCGCATCCACACAGGAGAGAGGCCCTACGAGTGTCCCCAGTGTGGGAAGAGCTTCTCACAGAGCTCTAACTTGACCAGACACCAACAGAGGCACCAGTAAGGGAAGCCCTGCGAGTGCCCCGAGTGCGGGCAGAGCTTCGTGTGCTGCTCCAGCTCCATCCCCCACTGGAGGAGGCACTTTGGGCACAGCCCTGGTCACTCACATTCCCTGTGATCCATGTTGGGAACACACCTGGCTGCTTCTCCTTTTGGTTTGGCCTTAATTTTCCTCTGCTTCACCTTCATCCTTTAAAAACACCCAAAAGTGGGTTAAATGAAGGAAATTGATTGAATATATCTGCAGTTCCATAATTTCTCAGTTATTTTAGAGGGAATTTAGGATTTGGGGACACATTCTGTGTGGAGTGCTGCTGTTGCTAAGAAGCAGGAATTTGATCTCACCCTTCTTGTGTTGCTAAGAACTCCTCCCCTGATCCAAACCCCAACTCCACCCTTGGGATACCCTATAAAAACTCCACAGCCCTGCTTTTGCCCTGTCTTTGGGGGGTAAGAAATGGATTCCCAGAGGATCAGCCCTTTTCTCACTGCATTCCCAAAGGATCAGCCTCATTCTTCACTGGATTCCTAGAGGGTCAGCCCTTTCCCACTGGATTTCCCAAATTTGAGCTTTTCCCATTGGATTCCCAGAGAATCAGCCCTTTCCCACTGGATTCCCAGATGATTAACCTTTTCACACTGGATTCCCAGAGAATAAATCTTTTCCCACTGGATTCCCAGAAGATCAGCCATTTTGCCACACGATTCCAAGAGGATTGACCTTCTTCACTGAATTCCCAGAGGATTCTGACTCTGTCACTGTTTTTTTTTTGTTTGTACTAATGCATTTGTATTTTTAATTTTTCCTAATAAAGAACTGTTATTTTTACTCCCATATCTTTGCCTGAGAGACCCTTAATTTCAAAATTATTATTTTAATAGAATATATTAATAATATTCTTATTACTATTATTATTATTATTATTACTAATCAAAGGGATGGGGTTTGCATTTTCCATTTCAGTGGAGGCTCCTGAAATGGGGAGACACCCCCAAGGACGGGCCATGTAAAATAGTTCCTGAAATATGTAAATGAGTTTACCAATATGCATGAGGGTCTATGAATATGCAACAGGCTGATGTAATTAAAACCAGATTAATTAAGGGGTGTCCCCGAAAATAACTGGGGGGTCTTGGTGGCCATAACAACCTTTGCTCGATGGTCCTTGTCTCCCATGACATCAGCCTATTGCATATTCATAGACTCTTTGCATATCCGTAAACTACTTTACATATTCCAGGAACAAAATTAGCTTCATCCTTTTTGGGGGTTCCACCCCTCTCCCAGCTCAGTTTTGGGATCCCATACTCGTCCCAGCTCAACTGGGGGGCCCATTCCCCTCCCACCTCGATTTGGGGGTCCCATCCCCCTCCCAGCTCAATTTTGGGGTCCCAGCCCCCTCTTATCCCCAGTCTCCCTCCCCTTTCCGATCGTTTCCTCAATTCCCTTTCCCGTGTTTGGTTTTGGGGGCTCCAGGCCCCTCCTGCTCCGTTTTGGGGTTCCGACCCCGTTTTGGATTAATTTGGGGTCCCCAGGCCATCCCCAGGGTCACCTTCCCTCCGTCCCCAAATTCCGCTCCTCGCAACTGATGAGTCATCAGCGAGACACGCTCTGATTGGCTGGAAATTACCCCGCGCCGTCTCTGAGTGTTTAACACAGTGCGAGGCCTTGGTCTGTGCCTGGCAACTGATGAGTCAGAGTCGGCCCGGGCGGTGATTGGCTGAAAATCGCTGAGTGGGGAAAGTGCTCTGAGTTTCTGCCCAGCAATTGGATTGTCATCAGTGCCGCACCTTCTGATTGGTCGGAATCTGTTTTGGGGTGGGGACGGGAGGAACTGGGGTTACTTGGGGTTTCTTTGGGTTTATTTGGCGTTATTTATGGACTATTTGGGGTTTATCTTGGGTTTTATTTGGTTTATTTTGGGTTTTATTTGGGGTTATTTTAAATTGTTTACGTTTATTTAAAGTTTGGGTGGTTTTGGGCTTATTTGGAATTATTTGTTGTTCTTGGGGTTTATGTTGGTGTATATGGGGTTTTTTAGGTTTAGTTGAAATCATTTCGGGTTTTTTGGGTTTGATTTGTTTTTTTGGGGGTTGTTGGGGGGTTTTTTGGATTTGTTTGGCATTATTTGTGGGCATTTAGGTATTGTTTGCGGTTTTTTGGGGTTATTTGGGGTTTATTTTGAGTGTTTTGCGGTTAATTTGAATTTATATCAAATCTTTTGGGCTTATTTGGGTTATTTGGCGTCATGTGGGGTCAAAAAATCCAGGAATGTTTCTCCTGCAAAACAGGAATTTTTCCTTAAGAATCCGAGAGTTTTTCCCCAATAAACTGGGAACGTTGTTCCCTTAAAAATTCCAGACTTTTCTCAGCCAATAGCGGCGCGCCCTGCCCCAAACCATCCAATCACTGCGCTTCATCTCCCAAAATAACGAATCACGGTGCACCCTGCCCCAAACTAACCAATCACCACGAGTCTCCCCTCTGGAACACCCCGTGCGCCGATCCAACCAATCACCGCACACCTCCCCTCAGCAAAGCCCGCCTCCCCTGCCCCTCTCCTGTCAATCACCGCACCCTCTATGAAACCAACCAATCACCTGGCATCTTCCTTCAACCACTCCCACCCTCCCCGCGCCACTCCAGCCAATCAGAGCCGAGCCCGAAGCCGCGCCCCCTGACCCCAGGGCTGGGCATGGAGCGGGCGCCCCCCTCCCCCCCCCGCCGTCCCCCGGGACCCCCTCGGGGACCCCCGGGAGCCGCCCCGGGCTCGGGCGGGTCCTGCGGGAGGCGCTGGAGAGAGCAGGGGAGGCGCTGGGAGAGGACGGGGGGCTCCGGGAGCTGCTGAGGAGGCGCAGGAACAGGTGAGGGGTCCTGGAGGGGTCGTGAGGGGAATTTGGGGAGGGGTCTTGAGGACGTTTGGGGGGATTTGGGGAGGGTCTGGGGGGAACTTGAGGGGGTTTTAGCGGGGTCTGGGGGTGCTGGGGGGGCTTTGGGGGGGAATTTGGGGAGGGTTCTTCGGGAGGTGTCACGATCCGTCCTAACAGATGGGTTTCGTGATGGTTCGTGGATTTGATCTCAGGGTGCAAAAAGAACCGACACGGTACAAGGGGGTTTGCAATGATAATCGAAACAAATGCACCTTTATTGAATGTCCCCAGCAAAATGCGATAGAGGGATTAAGGGAGAGAAAAAGATAGAGGAAGAGACAGAGACAAAAGTGAGAGAGAGAGAGAGAGGGGATAGAGCTACCAAATGTAGAGACGAAGTCCTTTGGTCCAGTCCAGTCGAGGATCCACCTGTTACGTCGGGGAGATCTCGAAGTCTCTGGCTAACTCAGAGGTTTTTATTTGGATAACTCTATTGGAAATTGCCGGGGAGGGGGGGAAACAGATACAATAAGGAATAGATGTAACAGGTAGTCCATGTTCTCAGCAGTAAACGAGAGCCATTGTGTTCTTGGTCCAGCGGTCACAACCTGCAGGCAAACATCTCGCTTTGGTCAGCTTGCCTCCCCCACACACCTGCCCCGGGCTGGGGGTTTCAGTCCCAGTCCTTGGAAGGAGCAGAGGGGCCTTTTCACATGGGGGTTTCATGTCTCAGTCCTCGATGGAGAGGCTCCTTACATCTCAGTCTGTCACGGTGCTGAGTATGATCTGTCAGATCCCCTTGAAGGAACCTATACCATGTATGCCCAGGAAAGAAATAATAACCAGGTTTAGGGGGACCCTGCCTGTAACCAGGAAGAGGCATGGGAAAACCGGATCTTCTGGATGGTGTGGATCCGATGGCCTGGCACATCAGAACAATGAAAGTACGACACCTTAGTTGATACTGGTGTGCAGTGTACCCTCATACCATCGGGACATGTGGGGGCGGAACCTGTTTCCATTGTTAGGGTGATGGGGGGATCACAGCAATTGACCCTGTTGGAAGCTGAGGTCAGCCTGACTGGGAAGGAGTGGCAGAAACATCCTATTGTGACTGGCCCAGAGGCCCCGTGTATTCTGGGCATAGATTTCCTCTGGAACAGCTTTACAAAGACCCAAAGGGACTCAGGTGGGCTTTTGGCATAGCTGCTGTAGAGGCAGAGAACATGAAGCAGTTGAACACTTTGCCTGGACTATCAGAAAACCCATCTGCAGCAGGTCTCCTCAGGGTAGAACAGCAACAAATACCAATTGCCACCTCGACAGAGCACCTCTGGCAGTATTGGACAAATCAGGATGCTGTGATCCCCATCTAAAAAATGATCCGTGAGCTGGAGAGCCGAGGGGTGGTCAGCAAAACCCACTCACCCTTCAACAGTCCCATCTGGCCTGTGTGCAAGTCTGACAGAGAATGGAGATTGACTGTGGACTATCGTGGCTTGAATGAAGTGACTCCACCACTGAGTGCTGCTGTGCTGGACATGCTGGAACTCCAGTATGAGCTGGAGTCCAAGGCAGCAAAGGGGTACGCCACCATTGACAATGCTAAGGTGCTCTTCTCCATTCCTCTGGCAGCAGAATGCAGGCCTCAGTTTGCTTTCACCTGGAGGGGTGTGCAGTACACCTGGAACCGACTGCCCCAGGGGTGGAAGCACAGCCCCATCATCTGCCATGGACTGATCCAGAGTGCACTGGAAAAGGGTGAGGCTCCAGAGAACTTGCAGTACATCAATGGCATCATTGTGTGGGGGAACACAGCGATGGAAGTGTTTGAGAAAGGAGAGAGGATCATCCAGATTCTGCTGGAAGCCGGCTTCGCTATCAAGAAGAGCAAAATCAAGGGACCTGCTCGAGAGATCCAGGTCCTGGGAGTAAAGTGGCAAGATGGAGGGCATCAGATTCCCACTGAGGTCATCAATAAGATCCCTGTGATGTCTCCACCAACCAGAAAGAAGGAAACACAAGCTTTCCTAGGCACCATAGACTTTTGGAGAATGCACATTCCTGAATACAGCCAGATTTTAAGCTCCCTGTACCTGAATACCCACAAGAAGAACAATTCCCACTGGGGCCCTGTCACCCTGGTTTTTTAAGATTTTTGTTGCCTTCTTGTGAAGGCCGCGATGACCTGGTTTCAGAGTCCAGCACTTTGATCTCCTTCGTGGGATCCCTTGTGGCCAATAACGGACGCTGACACCAATGTGGTGGACGGTTAAAGGCTTTTATTGAAGGGTCTCGAGGGTATTTATGGACTAAGGGGTCTCTCTACATCAGACAGGGGTTTGGCTATACTTTCTAGGGTTAGTGTGGAGTGGAAAGTTACTGGCATGCATAGGTTAGGGGGGCTACACGTCTGGCTACATTCTAAGGGTGATCCTTATCTATGGGGAGGGGAGTAGAAGGATTCTTGTAATTTTCCGTTACAGCCCGAAATCTTCTGAACGCCTGTCCCTGGCCTACCACAGATTTTCTAAGCCTTCTGATGTTGACATTATTGTAGTGAACTTTTAACTTGAAGTTATTTACTTTCTGTAAATATTCCATTGTTTTGCATTCCTTTATGGAGGAGGAGAAAGTTGATGGACTGTTGGTTTGACCAGTGTCATTGGAGATGTGGCACTGTCACCCTCCAATCCACTGTCACTCTTGGGAAACTATAAATGTTGGAGTCAGAAAATAAACTTCCCTTTCTTCCTTCACCTTGAGAACAGTGGTGTGCTTGTGTTCTTTCGTGTCCGATAGTGACATCTGGTGACCGCCAAAGTGTGCTGCAGCCTAGGCTGAGAGACAGAGTCCGGAGTGCCAGTGAGGTCGTGTTGTCCTCCCCCTCTTTGGTGCTTTGCCTGCTGTTCTTGTGGTGTTTCGAGGAGGATTCCCTCCTTTTGGACCTCTGGAGGGGGGTCC